TCATTTTGTCACAGCTTATTTTCTCTGAAAAAATAAATTTTCATACTTTTATAGGGGTAAAATATTGAAAAATGACTGTTTTATTATCATCTGAACAAAATATCAAGGAAACTTTTGATCTGAACCACATGAAACTAGGTATTTTCTGAAAAAGCAAACAATACGTTCTTTCATTTAAAAGTAAAATTGGCTGGTGTAAATGAATCAAAATATTTTTTCAGGGGGTAAAATGTGAAAAAATAGTGAAAATTTTGCTTTTTTTCTAGTTCTAAACAAAAAATTTACCCAATAATGGGAAATTAACCATCTTTTTTGGAAAATCAGAAAGCCTAAATCATGATCAAAATATTTCAAGCATAAAATTGAGAGTTTGAAGGAAAACAACATTCCAAAATGCGAGAAAGTCTATTGGTAATTTTCAATTATATAGCCGCAAGGGGTTAAAAAAATTGAAACCCAGCTATGGAACTCTTTAGCAAAAGGCAAAAGATTTATCTTCAATTCCTGACCAGCAGAAACCAGGAGTTAATAGCAGCGATAAGGAAAATTAAACCAAATTGACTTTGACATATCTGGGTCAAAGGCCAGCCAGCAATAAACGTTGAACAAGCTATCATCAGCTTGTAAATCCCACCACTTACAAGATAAGAGCAAAGAGTGAAAAAAAGTGGAAATATTGGCAAAAAGGGCTTGATATAGTGTTTTTTTTCCAAACCTATGTTTGACCAATGGCTGGATGTGTTTTGTTTTGTTTTTTAACACCTCATGACCCGGATAATGACAAAAACACTTACCAGCTGACATTGTTTTTTCACCGCATGTCTTTCGTATTTCCCATCGTTGGGTCATATAGCAGTTCCTTTTATTCAATGATGTTTACACCAACATAAAGAGAAAGGATTGAAGTTTGAAAAAAATTTTTTTTCATTTAAAAAAAAAAAAAAAAAAAAGTGATTTTTCCCAGAAAATTGGCCATAATTTTTTAATGCTAACCCCTAAGTGACATTTTTCACAGCCAAATCAAAGATTAATTACCAGTGAATAATTCCATGTGCAAACAATAGCCGTCTGGATCCTATAACATGGCCTGAAAACATCTAGACATTAACTGATTGATCAAAAACTTGTTGCACATAATTGTGTTTTCCATGGTCAGTTTCCATTATTTCATCTTGATGTTGTCATTTAAAACATCCAAGTAATCAAGAATTCAGAAAAACTGTCTGGCAAAGGTTTGCTTTGAGAACTTTGCATTCTATGAAGGGTTTAAGATGTTACTGACAAATGGGATTTTTCACCGAATATTTCATTCAAGTGCCATGTTGGATTTTCCATTATGACAAAAACAAGCCTTTAAACAGCTGTGAGTACTTGAAAGGAGAAATTTTAAAATTGTATTACATATTAGAAAATAGTTATAACTTTCTGCTAGAAATGTTCTGTCTACTGTAGTTCAAATGAAAATATCAAAGTATATTCAGGAATTTCATTTATGATAAATTTCATTAAACAAGATATGTAACATCAAAGAAATATAAACTGCTTGACATAATTTTGTTTAATAACCACATATGAATTGTAATGATTGCATTCTCATTCCTGGTAATAATTTTTAATTAATTCTAAAAAGTTGTCACAATTCAATCATTAGACTTGCGTCGTTGATTAGAAAAAATATCTACTTACAGAAAGTAAAACTAATTTTAAGTGAAATTGTTTTTGATAACATCTAATTTAAAAGAAAAAATATTCAGGAGATAAAAACCAATGATATTACAATATTATTCTAAACACGTCCATACCTCGATTACAGATTTTATATTGAATACTCTAATTGTAGAGCTAATTTCATGAAAACTTTCTTTTTATCATCACGTTACATGTGGCAGTGATTAAATACATTAATATAGGTACCTCCACAAGATCGCTAAAAATAGAGCATAGCATGATGAAAAAGACGCCAAATTTGACGAAAACAAAATTTTTTTTTAGGTACCTACATTAATATCTTTATCTTTAATTAGGAATTTTGGTTTGGAACCTTTCAGTATTTTCATATAAAATAGCCAGCTTATCGAATAAGTAACATATTTTTTTTCAGATCTTGCTCTTACTGTTCTCTCTCAGACGAAATTTAAAGTAATTGAAATAAGTTTTCAGAGAGTACCTTAATATAAGTAAATTATTTGGAACTTTTTATGGCATTAGAAAATCCTTTCTTTTGTCACATGGATGTGTATCATTCATAATGTTACAAAATTCAGCAAGGGAAATTATTTTACTAGATAATTATCTCCCTTGTTAGGTTAAGAACCAAAAAAATAATCTTAACTACAGAAATGTTATGATTTATACATCTGTATTGACATTTGTATTCTTTGCACTACACACATGGGATAGTTCAATTAAACAAGAAATGAGGAGTTCATTTGTCACCACTAACGACTGAATGATAAAACAAAGGGAACAAAGACCAAGACTAAGAAAAAATTACTCACTGTAAAATTGTGGATTGAAAACCATAATAAAAAATAACAATAAAAAAGGTTCCAACCAGTTTTAAGTGTTAACCGGTTTGCCCCTTTTTTTGTTATATTTTTCAATCCACCATTTTATAGTAATTCTTTCTTTCTTATCATTACAATTCCTCCCTTTTGTTTTATATATTCATATATATATATATATATATATATAACACACTTTTAAAATATCCATTTTAAAGCCCTAATAAAATGTTGTACCACTCCCCAACAGATTATTTAATCTTGTTTTTTAAATCCTAATATTCAGTATTATCCTAATTTTTAATTATTTACTTAAAAAGTATGTGGGTTTTTATGTGATTGTAAAATATGAAATTAAGTTTTTCTTATTTTACTGTTAGGATTTTTGTTTTGGGGGATAATATTTGACAGGTTTATATTTTATATATTTCTGTTTTTAATAGATGTCCATATGTAATAGATAAAACGCAAAGATTTTTGCCTGTCTATATGTGTGCAAATATTACATAAAACATCAAATGAATATAGTTTATTTATCTGTCAACTTAGTTATCTCCATTAAAAAAAAGAGCCACTAACTTGTATATTCAACTTTAAAAATTAAAGTTTTCAAAATAACTTTCTATTCATTTCTAATCTGAATTTTTGTAATATTTATAAATAAGCAATTGTTTTATTGATGACTTTTATAATTAAGTTCAAACAAGGGCTTTTTATGTTCTGAATCTAGTAACACCTGAACATTTATATCATAGCTTGGGAATAAAGGGAAGTAAGCAATGTTGACATTTTTTTCAGTGCATCTAACAAATATGAATTAAAACCGGACATAAGAAATGATTGGTATAATGTTTAAACCTATTGAGCTGTTTTAATTCTGACAATTTCAATAAGATCATTTTACAGCATAACAAATCTCTCAAAGAAACGACTACATAGCATAACTGTACAGGAAGAATAAATTTTGCCCATGCAATGCTGAGTATCATTACTAGTACAAATATACTACACTCTTTGAAACTAAGTTTACATCAGTATTCTGATGAAAATCTTTCCTGACATTTGAAAACATTTTAATCTCTGTCAGGATCTAAATAACAGAGTTAAACATTTCAATACAAGAAATAAAATGATTTGAGGAAAAATCCATCTTATTAATATTGTAATGTTTTATCAATTTTTAGAAAGTTATGAATTTATAATCACCTTAGTCACAATGAAAGATTGTCACTTCTTAATAGAGGGATAATATCATTATCTTCATCTCTGTGAGTTTTCCTGTATATATGGTAAATGAAAGACTTGTGTATGGTCTTAGAGTTTATCTGGTCCTTATGCATTCTCACATGACTCTTCAGACATGCATGTAATAAAATTGACATAAATTTCTTTTAAATCATTGTGAACAGCTGTCAATGTAATCTGCTTGGGATAGCCTTACCATCATGAGATCTTAGATGACTAGGTTGCCTCCATTTGTATAAGAAGATTCTACTACAGATGTTGCATTTGTGCTCAAGCTTAAACTTATCACAGATTGTGATCATATCCCACTTTCTCAGAGAAACCCTATCAAGACTGCATAATCAACCCTCTTTTCTTTGAATATCTTACAACTATTGTTTACCATTTTCTTCCACACAGATCAATTTTCTGTCAACATTAGCCAATGTTGAGCATCAATACCGGGAGTTAAAGATTGTTTTTAACAACATCCTTAAAACTATGTCTATGTTTTAAATGTTTACCATGTGGTAATTCTATGTAAAATAAGTACTGAGCTAATTTGTCATCTTGTAAGATGCCCTGCCTATCACATATATCTGCCATTATTTCATGCATTATTTTGAACATTTTTGTCTGAATTTCTGGGATGAGGAGTTATCATTATTTACACTATTTATATTTGGACTATTGTCCTCATCTTTGTTGTTATCACATTTCAGCCGTTGTGCTCTACAGCCTTCTTTAAGTATATATCAATCTGGGTAACCTGTAGGGTATTCTGAACTGAACCTTTAATTTAATCTACAAGGGTAAACTATTTTCATTCCTCTGCTCATGTCTTGGAATATTGTCTAGTTCTTATTTATTACTATTTAGTTATTGCTTACCCATTTCCACTGAGTGCAAGTACACACTGCATAACCCAGGGATTGAACTCTTAGATTAAATAAAGTGTTCAGTTCAGAGGTTATCCAGATCAATATACACCTGAAAAAGGCTGTAGAGCACAACAGCTGAAACTGTGACAACATCAAAGATTGGGACAATAGTTCAAATATAAATAGTGTAAATATTTTGAACATGTTTACAAAAGTTAAAGAGACTAATAATTTAAACAATTCTCATGTTCCTGACATTATTCTTTTCAATAATTTTCTCAAATCATTTGAAAAGCATGCTTTACTACTTTTCTAAAGAGAAATTCACTTTGATAATTTGTATAGAATTGATTTCATGTCATTTATTGTTGTTGCTGTTATTGTTTTACAGTGGATATTTGGTCCGTGGGCTGCATCATGGCAGAGTTGATACGAGGTGGTGTACTATTTCCTGGCACTGACCGTATCCTTTATTAACTTACATACATGCTGGATGTTGCAGTTGTTTTTGTTTTTTAAAGAAAGAACTAAGAGAAAGCATCCACCAATTGAATTATTCCTCATTGAATAATATTTTGCTTTTTCATGTGTTAAGGAAACTTAAATTTTATCTGAATTTAGAAATGCATCTTTATATCACAAAATCTGAAATTATCTGTACATATGTAATCAGCATTTATTTTAAAACTATAAACATTTCATCTTATTTTTATTGCTACTGTTACTGAATTAATATTTTATGCACTTAAAACCTTTGCAAAGATTTTAAGTGATAAACTTTGTAACATAAAAAGTTTTATTTGACATGATTATAAAATTCCATAATTTTCATCATGAAACTCCAACCTTATATCATAACCTATATTTAAATTTACATGTAAATTAAATATAGCATTAATCTCCTCACTAAACTTTTACTGTGTGCTTGAAATCAGGTCTTTTCAAATAATTTCTATAAACCTTAATATATTTTAAACCAATAGTCAATATGACTATCATAACAATAGACACAGAGAAATGTAAACATTTTACTGTTATAGAATTGAGCATGATAGATTGTGCAAAACAATTGATAAGACTTTATTCATTATGTCTATTCTATATAAATAAAGTGCAGTGTACATGTGTCCATCCATTTTTTGATCTTGGCAACCATAAAGAACCTGAAGTAATAAGTAGTAACTACTATAGTTACACACAATTAAAAATGAAATAAATAACTCATTTAAAGTTAAATTTAAATATCAAACAGAGTGAAAGGTTTAAAAAAAACACTTCTTTATTAAAGGTTTAACTTTAGTTTCAGTTTTCATTGGAATTGATATTATTTAATTAAACTGTAATTAAAACTTAAGCGGGGTATGGTACGTTACACATTTTTTTCTTTTTCTAGCATGCATACTGTGACATATTCAAAATATTATTTAGTTTGGTACCCTAATATCTTTTAAGAGTGACTTTATGTGGTGGGATCATAAGGAATGGAGATTTTTAAAAGAAAATAAAAATTGAACACAAAATAAATGTAAACAAACTACGGAGATTGGTTGCGTATACGAAGAAAGATTATGTCGAATAAAGATAAAATAATTTTATTATTTCTAAATTCTTATAACGTACATACACAGGAGGCTGACAGTAAAGAGCCTATGGGCCAAAAGCCCTCTGCAACAGCTAGTTTAAAGTCTGCCCAAAGTCAGCTTCTAGGCTAGTATTTGAATAGGTCTTAAGTAGATCTCAGTTAATCTAGAACTTCTCATAACAACAATTGAAGTATCAACTCAGAAACAAAGAATGCACAATACAAAATATTCATTATGAATATTTCAGCAATACATGAATCAATGAATACTCTGACATAGGTGACATTTTTAACAGCAGAAGCCAAAATAGCACCCATATTTTGTGGGTTAGAATAAGTCCATGTACCTGTAATCAATCATGTCACTCTATAACTCCTATAAACATTAATGAAAATAAAGCTTGATGTTCATCATTGTCATATCTTGAGGATTTAGGACTTTTATCTAATACTATTAGTAACATAATAGAATTTACAAGTACAAGAATTAGCATAATAAATCTGGTTGAGTTTCATTGAAAGATCATTAGAAGTAGGAATTAGGCTAAAATGGATTAAATTTCTGTAATGTTATCAAAGTATAAAACATTATACAATTATGATTATAAATATTACCTAATACATCATGATTAATAATGTAAATTTATATTTTTGTCATCAGCTTTCATAGGAGAAATATTGTGCCATTTTGTTTTTAACTCATTGTTATATATCTATATTGAATATAGGGAAGGGATGATGCCTGTTTAGTAATATACAGTTTTATATGTATTTATGAAGTTTAAAAAAATTAATGAGCTTTCAATCATAACATGATTAGACACTTTTTTATTTCTGTAAATCATCAATTTTATATTTCTTCATTTTGTGCTTAACAGAATTTTCTTAAAGACAATTTCCTTCTCTCTTATCTATATAAAAAATGCGAATGTCAGTGTGTCACTGTGTGACACTTTTTCAACTTTACTCCTAGAGGCCATAGCCCAATATATCATACATACCATTTTGGAATCAAAATGGTATGTATGATATATTAAATTAAAAACATTCTGGGCTGTATGATATATCAAATTAAAAACATTCTGGGCTGGATCCGGACCCGCATTCTTGAAATTTTGGATTCCCAAGTTTTCATCACTGCAATTGTTTTCGGCATTTTTTTTTTTTTTTTTACACATGATTTTTTGTGAGAAATTTTTTTAGCTAGCATATCTATAAATTTGTCTTATACTTTCCCTCTTATATAAGGTTTCCCAAAAAGTTTTTTCCTGCTTTTGTCATTAAATAATATTAGAAACATTTATTTTGAACTAACTTCATTCAAAAAGATTGCTTTTAATTGTATTGTTTCAGCTGTCACAACTTTGTATTTTTTAATTTAATGTCAACATTGGTATATTTTTGTTTATTGATTCTAACACTAAACATGACAGAAAATAAACATTTTCAGTATTTTATGTTTTTTTTTATTTAAAAAATAAAAGTTAAAATTACAAGTCTAACACAAAATAGATTTGTACAGTTTATTGAGTAGGTACTTTGAGTGTGTGAACATGTCAAAAGTTATTCACAAATGTCTATGCTGGAAATTTTTCACTGAATAGTGCTTTATAATTAGATAGACCAGTTAAGGTTCAAATATTGCTTGAGAATAGCATTATACACTAGATGCAGGAGATATAGTAAAAATATCCACATCAAATACTGAAAAATCATTTGAACCAGTTAGGTTATGTTAACTGCTTTTGTTATGGCTTCATAAATGATCAAAAGAATTATTGGACTTTATTTCTAAGTTAATTTCATTAATTAAATAAAATGAAAAAATTGTGTTTTTTAAACAAATTATGATGGATGGTGAAAAGTGGAGATTTTTCAACAATATTAAACTGAAGAAATTGTATGCAAACTGAATCATCACTTAACACACCAAAAGCTGGTATTTATCCAAAGAAGGTGTCCATGATGGGATTTGAATAGGGAGTCCTCTACCAAATTACTAATTCAAATAAGTATTGCTCCTTCTTATCAGACCAAACAATTAAAATATCCAGAATTATTTAAAAGGATACATGACCATATGATTCTTTGGCAACCGGAGAAAAATGATTAAATCTTGGACAGGAAGTTTTCATGCCTCCATTTAATTTTGTTGTCTGGATATGAATTAGTTAAGAAGCTAGAAGAAAGTAGCTTGTATTCATCAAATACTACAACTTTGGATTACCATTTATTTCAGTCTTTAAAGAACTGTCTCAATGAAGAAAATTTGTTGGAAGACTACAAAATTCACCTAAAGGAGTTCTTTATTGAGAAAGATAAACATTTCTTAATAGGATAGAATTATACAGTTACCTGAAAAATAACAGAAGATAAGGAAACAAAACTGTAAATATGCTGCTGGTTCAATAACGTTAATGTTGAAAATAAAATCCATTTAATTATACTTAATAAACTAAACTAAAATTATTCTATGAAAATATATAAAAACATGAGGTATGGATTTATAGATGCTTTGACAATATTTTTCATCAGCGAGAAGCTGCAATAATAAGAATAATAATACAATTTAGTTGGTAGCTATTTGGGAGCATTCAGTCTTCAACTTTCTCACCATTACCACCATCAGTGTTAAGTACATGAAAGTATCAGGTTACCTAACAAAATTTATCATCTGCAATTTAGTTGAGATATTCTTACTCCACATTTTCTGTGTTGCTATGTTGAAAGCTAACAACTATCATAAAGAGAAAAGCCTGAAAATGAAAACATGTACTGTTTGATCCTATTATAACTTGGTCAATGAGGTTCTTAAAATATCATCACAAAAACTGAAGTCCAGTTAAATAAGGATTCAAGAAAATCAGCATTTACAAATTTGCCAAACATTTCATTATCACCTTATATATGCATTATAATATAATCATTGGCCCATTATGTTATATTTGAATTTACATAAAATTGGAGTTTTACTATGCTTTCTCTCTCTCTACCTAGAATACTTCATAGCAGCAAACTAAGGGCACCAACTTAACTCCACTACCCATACTAGTAGGTAGTGACTAACATCTGTGAAATCATCCTGAGGTACAATCCAGTCCAATGAATCTGCTGCCCATCTATCATGGTTTGTTTTCTTGAGACATGATAACCAAAAGAAGCATCTAGGCCAGCCTTAAAGCACACTAAATTCACATAACCCCACATTAGCCATTTCTCTGCTCCAACAAGCATTGCAGCTACATTAGACTTATCACAGACTATGTACACACCATATGAAACAAGACGACTTTTGTCTCATCTGTAGATAGATTTTCTATACTAGAATCCTGCCATCATAGATGCATGATGAAGCAAGGAATGAATAGAAATGTATAAATTTATTCATGTTGTAAATATTATAACTTGGTCATGATTCTATTTAGTGATAATGACCAATTTATATAAGGAATTAAATAATGCAAAATACTCTTCATTTTTTTCTAGTTAGTTAGCCAATTCCTAACAACAAAGCCACTGATTGGTAACCAATAATTCACAATGAAGTTCAGAAGACTTTTTTTTTTATCCATGTGGTCACTAGTTCATCACTGAATTGGTTCACTGTTACATTAATCTTTTGATCAAATAAGAATGGTTGTAATATGAGCCTTTACCATATTTTCTTGTGCATAATATGAGATATTTTGAATGAATATTAAAGTAAAAAAAACACAAGCATTATACACAAGTATGCATTTTCAGAAATTTTTACTCAGCTTAAAAAACCTCTTATTTGAAAGAGCAAGTAGGAAAGTGTTGATTACAATTGTTTACAAAAGGTATTTGATATGTCAGCAATATTTGATCTGTGGGAATCAGCATAATCGAATGTCTTTTGTCACCAAAATCAATTTTAAAAAAATTAATAAAAAGAATACACAAGATCTGTCATGTTTTGATAACATTAATGTTGCAACAAAGTCCTAAATGATGTATTCTTCTTGAGTTTTTTCCGCTTGCAAAAGGGTATGATAATTCGCATGTTGTGATGTTGTTTCATATTCCTCCATTTTCTGATGCAAGTATCTTCAAATATGTAAACAACCCTGACATGATTATATCAATATATAGTATACACTGATATTTGTAATTAAGAATTAGAAAATATTACAATAATTTATATGGATATGACATTAAGATTTTAATGGATGACATGGCACAACTTTTAAATAAAAATTTACATAAGGATGGCTGTACTACAGGGTTGTACTATACTGGGAGGATATTATTTATTCTTTTTTTTTTTTTTTTGTTTCAGAAACATGAGTCATACTCTAATCAATATGTATTATATTTCACATGGCTCTAAAATATATTTGTGAGATTTTAATTTATGAATTTATGAGCTGATTTTAAATAATTACAGATAACTTAAACTAGAGGCAAATTAGTGGCAACAGTATTGTGTTAATAATATATATTATAAAAATTTATATATTGTTTTCCCATACTGTCAACATGGAAAATATGTTTCATTAAAGACAATAGACAACATACTGCAATTAAGCTTTTTATTTAATTTTTCTTGTGTTCTGTTGTATAGGGATAAAGTGTCATTACAACACTGGAGTTTGAACACAGGTCACCAGTGAGCAAACACAGGTGATTCCATGATCATAAAGGAAAGGTATATATGGGAATTAGCGTGGTGTCTAAGTGATCACGATTCTCTATACGGATTACTATTCGGCGGTTACTATTTGAACAAGCCTAGTGCAAGTATTATTCGAAGGAGTTACTACTAGTATCTGTGATTCTAAAGTCTCGATTACAACAAGCATTACAAATGTGATAACAAGCATTCGTTGACAACACAAAAGTAACAACGCAAAGGTGTCTGACATCACAAATTGTTCGAACAAGTGTTTTCTTTTCTGGACACAGAATGTGTAGAAACTGTCTAAATGTTCTGTAATTCCAAGTACTTTCAGGTATACTTTTAGCCATTATCAAGGATGATTTTATTTTTTATTTTTAACTCGATGTATGGGTTGTGTGTATGTTTCTAGAGTTATGGGGTGTTTTATTTTCTGAACACAGCACATTGTATCCGTGTTTGTAGTTAATATTACTAAATATTGGATTTTTTTTGTTTAATATTAAAGCTTCCATTATTTTAAATCATTTTTACATGTGGATGAGGTTATTATGTTTGTATTTTCTACTAGTATGTTTCGGATGGGGTCTGGTAAGCAGATATTCTACTCATTTTTATTGTGCTTTTGTTTTTGTTTATCTTTGGCTGTTGTGATTCCTTAATCCATATCCCCAGATATAGATCAGTGGAATAAGATTATCCAACAATTAGGAACCCCATCTCAAGACTTCATGTGTAGATTGCAGCCTACAGTAAGGAGCTATGTTGAAAACCGTCCTCGGTTTACAGGCTACAGCTTTGATATCTTGTTTGCAGACTGTATGTTCCCTTCAGACAGCCGTGAGCATCAAGGTCTGCAAGCATCTGTAGCCCGAGACTTGCTGTCCAAGATGTTGGTTGTTGACCCTGAGCGAAGGATATCTGTTGATGAGGCATTAATGCATCCCTACATTAATGTATGGTATGATGAAGGCGAAGTAAATGCAGTAAGTAAACCCTTATGCAGAATATGATTGACGAATTACCAGACAAGATTTCAATCAAATCCATGAATCCAATAAATGCTGAATTTTGACCATCTTTATAACAGTGCTGATGTCTGTTCAGCACAAGATTCATCAAGGTTAATCTCAACACAAGAATATCCATTTTCACTGAAAGCTTTCTGCAATATTAGTATATTGCAATAACCATTTTTGAATTGTGTTAATGTCAAGTGAGTGGCACATCAGATTGTTATTTTCGCTTTTCTTCACTTACAAGTAAGCTATTTTTTAATCTTTAGTGACTTGTTTTGGATTATCAGTGACTTGTTTTGGATTATCACTTCAATAATATTGAATTGAAAGCTTTACAGCTTCTAGTCTAATTGTTGAAATTGACCTTGAAGGTTTTAAGAAATGTGCAGCTATCAGACATAAAAAAAAAAAAAATGATAATTATTATACAATAAAATTTCATATATACTAGGTGTAACAGCAAAATTGTCCAAATCGTTTAACAGTATAATTATCCATCCTTCAAAATGTTTAATAAAAAAAAAAAAAAACACTAAACTAATTGATTTTCTTTTTTCCAGGTTTTCAGGTAAGACCTTTAGCCATTTTGACACCATTTTTCATAAGAATCATTGAAACATCCTTTGAGTTATTCAGCTAAAAAGAGAACAGGTTAAAATCGTTTTGTGTCAGACCCACTGTCTTCCCAACTGAGCAATGGTCAAAGGAAAAAGATCATTCAGGCCTTCAACAACATTTATACACTGACTTCTATCTTCACAGTCCATTCAAGAACTATCAAGAGAGCAGTGATTAAGTTTAAAAAAAAAAAAGCGGGTACAGTAGGAAGGAAAACTGGATCAAGTGGTCACAGCAGGAAGAGGGATCATCATTTCAACTTCTAGCTAAAGAAATCAATTAGAAAAAATTCACTTCATTTCATAAGACGTTTGGCACATGTAAGAGGAGTTTTCAATTATAGCAATTCAAAGAGCAATGAAAAAAAGACTTGAAAATGAAATCATACATGAAACCTGTGAGGCACCTTTTTACTCTGGGACAGAAAGTTAGAAGGTTAGGGAGGGCGAAAAGCATCTTGAATAAGTTGGAAAATGATCCTGGAATAATATATATATTTGAACTTTATTTCAATACTTGATGAGCTTCCAATCCTTAGCTATGATTAATTAATGATGAACATGTCATTTTCATTTATGATTGATTTCATCACAGTTCTTCTGTTAAGCTTGGAGAGTAATTATGCATATTTATTACTCAAAGTAGAGTCCAGTAATGTTATAAAAACCTTGGTGAATTTCAGTAAGATATTTTTAATCATTTCTAAGATACAACAGTTCAGAGCTTAATCTGACAATTTTGCTGCTACACCCAGTATATACAGGGTATGATGGATAAATTGTCATCTAAATTATGCAAAAATGAAAATAACGCTGACATTGTAACAGGTATATTTACCAAAATTACACAAAAATATCTTGAAATACACAAGAGTAAATTTATTCAATAAAATCACCATTTGCTTCAAACCCCTGCCTCCAGATGACCTCGGAATCTCCTGCAACTCTTCTGGATGGTCTCCTTGTTTAAGTTGGTGAATGCTGCCATAATCCTTGCCTTCAGTTCATCTTTGGTGTTACAAAGAGTTTTGTTGGTCTCCCGCTCAACTGCACCCCACACAAAATAATCAAGGAGTTAGGTGGCCGGGTGTAAGGAGTGATGGGGTTGCAGAAAATGTCTGACAGCCAGGACTGGTTCTCCTGCATGTGTTGTATGGTGCACAGTCCTGTTGCCAGATATAGGGTCTTTCAGCAGCCACCCTCTTGACCCAGGGCAGCACTGCCTCCTGAAGGCACTTGACGTAGGCCACTGTGTTGAGTCTGAGGCCCTGTGGGAAAACGAATTGAGGCATGCTCCAAACACCATGATATTGACTGGATATTTGGTTTCATCACTGTTGATACATTTTTGGGGGGGGACACAGCAAGCCAACAGTTGTTCTGTGTGTTCCCCATCTTATCCTGGCAGAAATTTTGTCTCATCTGATAAAAACCAAAGCCTGTTCGGTTAGAGAGAATGCTTGAGGCTTTGTTCAAAAGCTTCGTAGCACGGTCTTTCCTCTTGTCCTTCATGACTTGTGATAAAAATTGGCCCTTTCTCATCTTTTATGAGAAATACTGAATGTCTTCATGCACTACCTACCTGATAAGAAACAGACACTCCTGTGTCCCTGGTTATGGACCTGATTAACTTGGAGGGAATGTTGTCAATCATGGCCTGGATCTCACCAAAAAATTAAGTTCTTTTCTTATCAGGTCAATCAGAGTGAGTTTCCCAAACTGCCGTACATTCATAATCACCATTAGACTCATCCAAATTTTTGCATTCTGAAAACACTCTGAAATGTTCATATTGAAGTTTCTGTCATAAATGTCAAGCAGTACAGCATGCCATTTCCAAATTTCTGGCAGAGTGAATTGCATCATGTTGCTCTTTTTCTCGCAGATGGTGCTCAATTGACCCTACTATGCTGTGCAGTCAACAAAATCAAAAACAAACAAGGTGCATGCACGAAATTAAAAATATAAAATGGTGACAATTTACCCATCGCACCCTGTGTGTTTATTTATTTATATATATATATATATATATATATATATATATATATATATATATATATATATTTAATATAAATAAAAGAAACAAGTTTGATTAAAAAGAACTGACATGGTCTGTCTTTTTAATTCTTTAATATTTCACAATTTTCACTCGTTCCCAATAGCCATTACACATGGTGTCACACTAGACCTTTTCAAACTTCCAGCTTCCCAAAGAATAGCAGGATGTAGACAAATGAATTCTAACTACCACACAGGCACCACATTGGTTCTTGATAATGACTGTGATAGACAAATGTACTTGAACAAAAATAACAAAGTATGAACTTCAGTTTATGCACAACTTCAAGCAACAGCTTATCTGAAAATTGCAGAAGTATAATAAAAAAATTAAACAGGTCTTTTCAGTTCTTTTTAATCAAACTTGTTTCGATAAATACTTGCTGCCTATACCTTTATTCAAACATATATATACACACACCCTTTTAGCAGAAAATAAGATTTTCATTTTTATGGTGATGAATGAAAAAAATCTGTGAATTTTATTTTTACATCTATCAGCATTAGAAAAAACATTCTACTCTTGACCATTGCATTATGAGAAATAAAAACAGAAATGATTCTGTACCAGTGAAAATAACAAGCTGCTTACATGAGTCTACTGAAGTAAGAAAGTCAATATATGACTTTTTTCTTTTCTTTTTAGCCTGCTCCTGGACCTTATGATCACTCAGTAGATGAAAGAGAACACTCTGTAGAAGAATGGAAAGGTAATATAAACATTTGTTTCTCATTTTGGTTGTCACTTTTCAAATATTAAGCAATACTAAATAAAATGCTGTGTGTGCATATGTATGAATTTTATCTGTACTTTTCAATATTAGTTTAGTAAAACATGTCTCCTATTTCTGTACAAATGCCTAGAGATGTGAAGTTTCTTCTGATTAAATGTAGTTTTGTTTTTTCCATGTTGACAGTTTAAGTAAAGTTTGAATGAGAATCAAATGGAATGGTAAATATATAAGACAATTTTGAAAACTTCTATTTTCACATGTTTCACTAATGAATTGGCATCATGAGGAAAATAATTTTATTCCAACAAAATCTGCACTAGTGAGACAAAATAGGATTCACATTAAGAATATGCACACTTGATTTGTACTTTAATTCTATTGATTAGGAATTAGATTTTCACTAATTTGAATTATATTTTTTTATTTTAATTTAATATTATGCCATATATATATAAAGTTTCATTAAAAATGATTGACAAAGTTTTTTATATAATTTTTCATGTGATCTTATAATTTTTTTCTTTTCTGACCATAAATTATATAAAAATTGTCCAAATGTTTTATATGTCCAAGCACTTTCGGTTATATCTTTAGCCATTATCAAAGATGAAGTTTATTTTTACTTTTAACTGAATGTATGAATTGTTTTATGTATGTATCTAGTGTTACAAAAATGTCTTATTTTCAAACCTGGTCAACACATTGTAGCCATGTTCATAGTTGATATTATTGAGTGTTAGCTTTTTATTTTTTATTAATAATGCTTTCATTATTTTTAGCCTTTTTTATATGCAGATGAGGCTATTATATTTGTATTATCAATGAGTATATATTACAGATAGTTTGGTAGGTCTCCATGTGTATTTAAATGAGACTTAATTGAGCTATAGTCAGAGAGATGTAACATGAGTCTTGTTAGGTTTTTTAGGTCTCATTTAAATACACAACTTCTCACAACTAAAATTTATATATTCAAGTATTTTATACATTTGTCAATGAATTTTAAGTATAAATAAATAATTATAAATGTCTGGGAATTTAACTCAATCTTTATAATGTATGAAGATATGAATCAAAATTTTAATATATTAGTGTTCAAATAAGCTCAAACTACTTAAATACTTTTTTTTTCTTTTTTTTTTTTTTTCAGAACTTATATATGAGGAAGTCAAGAAATATGAAAATAAAGATAATCAAATGACAAATGCTATGCAAAATCTCTCAGGTAAGTATATAGTTTGCATGACAAATTGATACCACTTATATGAATGCTTTGATCTATTGTTATTCTTTATATGTCAAAGGATTCAGCTTAATAGATGAATTTTAAAGATAACCATTTAGGACATGCTATTTCACATGCATCAAATGAAAATCATTTCTAGATATACTTTGTATCCTTAAGACTCAAAGGTAAAAGCTGTTTTTCTCTTCTGTGAATGGCAGTTTGTCTGATCAACATCAAATTAATCAAGCCTTCAAATCTATAGAAACTTTTAGAGAGCTTTTACAAATAAAACAATTTGTTTTTTTGTTTTTCATATATTTTACTGAATTCTAAATCATTTGTAACATAATTATTTATAAGGAAAATTAAACTAAAATTTATCCATTGCACATTTAAATAATCATTTAATATACTCTATGGTGTTATTTTTAACTCATTAGAAATCAATAAGATTTTTTGAGCAACAGATTTCTCATACATGTAGTAATTCTACTGCTTATCAGTGTTTCAAAATATTCTTCATTATTTCGGGACATCACTTGATCAAAATATTTCTGTCTATATTTTCACATAAAAAATCATTGAAAAATCACTTGATGGTTCTACTTTTAACAATACCAGAATAAATGTCATTTGAATAAAAAAAAGTTGTACATTATAATTGTAGAACTGAATTCTGACTTTCCCTTATTTTCACTGATTAGTCAAATTTGATTGTAAAATGGTTTTTATTGAACCACTCACAAACATTAAGTTTTTCTTCATGCATCTATTCCTACAGAAATTTTTTAAATATAATTTCCATGTAAATTAATATAAAAAATTTTCTTTAAAAAAAACTGTAAAATTCATTTTTATTAGTTAGCTATTCAATGTTATAATTTGACAATTTTTATAAATATTATAGTCTCCAAAAAATGCTGATACATGTTTTAAGCAAGGATGTTTGTCATGAAATGGTGGTCAACAGGTTAGTTTTGTAGGTTATTGCTAGTGAAATCAGTTTTCTATTATAACCTTGTACCAAATTAAACTTTGCAAAGACCAATGTAAGCATAGTCGTATTGAATATTTTATGGAAACACACTTATGCTAAAACTTGATTTCTAAATACACTTTAAAATGTATTAGAAAGATTACAAAAATGACTAAAGAAACTTATTTTGTAAAATTGATAACAATAACAACTTTTCAACACTAAAGTATCATTCACTTATATTTTTCTTTTACCAGAAGCAGTTTATTCAAATAAAATTATTTTTATTCAAAAATAAATATGAAAGTTATATAATTGGGAATTTATAACTTTCAATTAATATATTCTTTAATAATTTTATGTAATGTAAGAGAGTTGCTAAAAAATTCTATACTTCCCAAAATTTAACCAATGTTAAAATATTAGAATTTTTAAGGCTTTCTTGGTCAATCTAAGAGAATGTTTCAGTGCTTTGTCATAATATTAAACTTCATTTATAACACATTAATTTCTCCTGTCTATTCCTTGTCAGATAATAATGTAAATAAATAAAAGTAAATAAAAGGTAGAAATTATAACTTTTAAAATCATTAAAAATTCTTCATTTAGAAAATACTATGAATTCCTAATTTTCAAATTATAGTGACAGTTTTTCTTTAAATTTATAAGAGTTTGCTATTCTGATTGTTGATTTTGGTTCTAGCTTTACTAATTGTGCTTAATCTTTTTGCCCAGGCAGTTTCAAAATAGTAAGCTAATCTATTAAGAAATTCTTAACTTCCACATAGGAAAAAAGGAAGTGGTTGCAATATTAGTCTTTTTTTCCCTATAATTTAAAAAATAGAAAATACTTCTATTTACATAGCATTAATTTCACAGTCTTTTTTTCCTTTAATGTCATTTTAAGTTGATGAAAAATGTTAATAGTATAATTTTGAAGGGGATCCCTTAAATTATAGACCTCTTTTATAATGGACTGAAATTACTACAGCATAAAACAATGTAATTAGAACAACTAATGATGGGACTACAGTAGAAGATTAACTGAAAAGGTAGAGCATAAAGGATAAAAGGATCCTTTAAGAAATGATTTAAAAATCATTATTTCAGAACTTCTTTTGTCTATAATAATTTTAAATGGGAAAGAATAAATAAACAATCTAAATAAGTTCACTGATACCAAATGATTTTTATGCTTTGTCAATTTATAATTACAAAAATTAAACTTAAATGATCCTATTTTTTTTGCATTTCTTATTAGATTTTTTTCCTTTCTTGTTTAACCTTGCCTTTATATATATTGGGTTTGGGACAAAAGTTTGTAGCATTTTTAAAGTGAATTTTAAGATTCAACCACATATTTTTTGCTATCATTAAGGCAGCTTTCTGATTCAGAAATCTCAGAAATGGTCTAAGTAATTTGAACAGGCTTTCAGAGAATTGAAGTTCCCATTTAAGCCTCTTAAATTTTGTAGGGATCAAAATAATAAGTGGTAATCTTAAGACACAAGCTCAGGTGAGTATGGTCATCTTCTTCAGATGCAGCACAGCTTTTGTTGGCTTGTTTAATTTTCCCCAATGACCTTTTCCACTACACATTGTTGTAAACAGCCCATTTGTGATCATCCTTTTAAAAAAATAGGTTGTTTGTTTTTTTTTTTGGCTGTTTTTTATGGCAGTGAATCACAGGTGGAAATGTGGTTTATTCAATTTATTCTGTTAAATCATGAGGCACTCAAACATCATAGTAATTCATGTATCCCAGTATTTTCAAATGCTTTACAATGATCATATGAGATATGTGGAGGAGTATCTATGCAATGTCCTGTGTTGCGTAACCCAACATTTCAATTTGGTGATCAACAACTGCAGGGCTGCCCAAATATTCTCAATCTTCCAGATCAAAATTTCCATTTCTATGCTATGGCACCATCTCCATAAACAGCACATATCTTTTTTGCTGTTTTTACAGTTATTTTCCTTTCCAGAGATAAAAGAGCATCAAATGACTAAAAGGAATTTCATTTTCCTCCATTTCCTCTTTTAACATACAAATATTTAAAATTTGAAATCCACACACAAACCATATTGAAAAACATTTTTCAAAATATATCATAAATTTCAGTCACATGTTCAAACACTGCGTATTAAAAAATGCTACAAACTTTTGTAATAATTCAATACAAAGTATTGATTAAACAATTACTACTTTAATTTTCGTTATTGTTCTACCATGAATAAAATATTATTTGTTAGAAAATCAAGTCCTTTATGACCATATGCTTCAAGCACAGAGAATAAATTTATGAAAATTTTAATGGAAAATGTTAGAAATTAATTTGTAACAAAAATATGGTAAAATTGTTGGTTTCTGCTAACAACATTCAAACAAGAAATATGCAATCAGGAAGAATGAAAAATATATTTATATCATTGTTATTCTTCTACTCCTCTGAAAAACTTCCTTCAACATTTTCCTTTCTTTTATTCACCATAGATAAAACATTATCTCTTTCTTCCTCCCCTGGATAGTTCAAATTTTTAAATTTTAGCTTTTCCAGCTGGGCAAGCCCTGTCTTTCTAGATGCCCTTTCCAGGTACTACTAACTTTCTTTTAAAAAAAAAATGTATATTTTGTTTTTTCAGTTGCTACAATAAAAATATCAAATGTTTCTTTCTATCATTTATAAATTTATTAATTTCCAAACTACTCATCATATTTACTAGTTTACTTCATTTTTCTTATATTTTCCTTTCCTTTTCAAATTTCATGAATTTTCAATGAAAATAGATATTAATTTCTTTCTTTCTTTGTGTGTGAGTTTGAAATTATTAAATTGCTTATACAGTACATGAAATGTTATATTGAAACAAATAACACTGGTACAATATTACAGTTTGAAACAAATTCAATATTCCTTGAAGATGCATAAAAAATATTTCTCTTCTGTCCTTGTTGTAAATTTCTATTACTTTGACATAACATTTATAAAATATCTGGAAGATATCAATAGGATGCATTTTTAAAATGATGAACATTGACAATAGGGTATTTTCTAAAGATGACATAAATTTTCCAATCTGATTACAAAAATAGAAAAAATGTATTAGACCAAAACTATTTAAGATATTGACTCTTGTCAGGTACTAAAAGTATTTTACACCTGCTGGATTATGAAAATCCTTAGTAACAGCATATTCTACAATTTCACAGATATCCTGCTTTTGAAATTTGTTGTACCAGTTGTGAACAAATTGTCTCATTTCCCAAGTCTTGTTCTAAAATGCTATTTTACAACAGTAATGGAATTAATTTTCAGTCACACTTCTCAATGGCATCTTGAGGCATCTTACCTCATGACTTCTTGAATGCTTGTTAATGGAAAACCTGGTGACAAGAATATTATGTTGCTGTAATAAACTTCAAGAGATTTTGTATGTGTGCATCATGAGTGTCAATATCTTTTTTGTTTTAGTTTAATAAATTTTTGTAAATGTCTATTTCTTCTGAAATTAAATAGTATGAAGAAAAACAAGCCTTTTTTATATTCAAAGTTTAAATAAGTATGAAACATGCACTGCTAATCTCTAAACTATTGATAAAAATAAATAAAATTATTCTTATCAACTAGTATTAAAGCAGAAAATGCATATTACAAATTTTGTTTTTTTTAAACAATCCATAAACTTCTGGTCACATGTTTTAAGATGGATTTTTTAATTACTTTTATTTTTTGTGATAGACTGCTTTTATTTTCTGATGCTACCCATTATGTAAAAACAGTTTTTTCTTTTATTTCATTTCCACTTTTTTGTCTCCATCTCACAGTTCTGAAAGAAAAAGAAAAAACAAGAAATAACAAGAGAAAAAATAAATGAATAAATTCCAAGAATTACACTTTAAGAAAAACAATTTAGAAAAAGAACTGAAAAATATATTCCATTCACAGTCAAATCTTAGATTTGTAAATTTTAATTTTTTTCTTATTTAACCAATTAAGTTAAATTTATTATTATAATT